ACTTATGGGATGAAATATGGGATCGTGGGATTCACATCCAAGCCTTCATTCCCTGCCATGAAAATAGAGGTGTCTATGATTAAACCACTTGGTAGTTACCATTCATAGAGCTTATGAGAGTAGCCGTTATTACTATGATGAACTAATCATGGATGTTATGGTTATGGTTATCTATACCCTCTGGTAATTTAACAGCTTGCTATTGAAAATTGCCCATTTAGTTCGTTGATTTACCTATAAAAAATGGTGATTTTCCATAGCTGTGTAAACGTTTACCAGAGGGTAGTTTATGGGTGCATAAACCAACTAGTCAGACTAGTCAGACTAGTCAGACTAGGATTCAAGCTCAGGGCATGTTGACCAAGAACCACTCAAAAAAGGGCATGCCAACCATCTATGATGGGGTCAGCTTTTGTGGCCGGAATTGACCAAGGTTTAATGCTGGCAGTTTAATGGATTGATTCAAGTGATTAAACCAACCAGTTTATGGAGATGTCATGGGGATTACAAAATCACTGGGCTTCTTTTTTTGGAGAAATTAAAAAAGGAAAGTCGGGTCGTCGTTATCCCAATGTTTCCATGTTTTTTTTCAGTCAGAGCTACAAACAATAGCAAACTCAAAGACTAGCAGCCTTCCTCCAATTGCTCGAAACGACAACATGGGAATTCCTGTGAAGTGTCCAAGCAATTCTGGGACGAATCACAGTCGACATCGACATCATCAAAAGGGGATCTTCAGTGAAGAATTCACGTCGTTCGTTGATCAATTTCAGATCTGTCCCAAGTGCTGTTGAAATCAATGCTTTTCTCTGAAAATGGTGGCCCCCCAATTCGGAATTTAGTGGTTTATCATTGGTTACCCAACATTTTCCCTAGGAAAATATGGCTATTTTTGCCATCATTTTCCCTAGGAAAATGGCAATTTTGGAGATATCTGCAGCATCCCAATTTTAACACATCTATATCCATTGTTCATTGCATCAGCATCACAATTGATGGTGAAATCCGACTGTTTGTTGGTCAAGTCCAGATGTCCATCCTGTGCTGAGCTGTTTCCCACCATCCAATGCTCGGTGCCCCACCAGTTTGCTGCCGCTGAAGCATAGCAAGAAGCATCTGGGCAGCGATGGGATTCTACATGTGAGCAGCGTGAAGTTCAAGACCCGCACGCGGGTAAAGCCCCTTCAAAAACTGGCGGGTTTTACGAACGGATTTCCCAGTTCATAGAATATATTGGATAGTGCAATATATATATAATTAGTATAATAATTGGATATCTGCGGTTATAATAATGATATAATATATTGGATTCAGAATATGATATATTGGAATAGTATAACCCCGGAAAAAAAAAAAAACAGGGATTTGAGCACTGCTCATCTGGTGAAAATCAGTCCGCATTCGGCTTATCCTATTTGCAGCTGTTTTGATTCACCATTGTTCTTCAGTCATCTTAGTTCATCTCAGTTCATCTTAGTTCATCTTAATTCACCAATTATCCAGATTGCCCTGTACTTAATACTGTATTTCCAGTAATATGCCATCTTAGTTTCACGTAAGATCGTGATTCTACCAATTCACCATTGCGTTGCCCTCACAGTATTTCCAGTCGATGAGTTTTTCCACCCTTCCTCAATGGTCCTGGGTGCGTCTAGACGGATGCCCCCTTTTCTGGCCATTTTCATGGGGGAAATGCTCGAAGCATGTGCGTGGAGGATCAAGCCACTTGGCAACTGGTTTCTTATAGTAACCATAGCCATAAGGGCCATAACCCAGTAACATGTCAATCGACTGGATGGGTAGAAACTAATCCTAACTAGTCTTTTGGTATGGGATTATCTACTACCAACCAGCTAAGAACTGATTTTTTGCAGGGTATCTGGCTGGTTGGCCATGAAATATGGAAACCTATAGTGGTAAATATATAATTAGGATTATACTATCCATGTTTATAGATCTACTGGATATGATATGGTCATATCTATAATATGGGATAAGCCCATTTGGGAACTTACTAACTAACCGTTGGGGCCCAGTTTTGGGATTGAACCAGCAAAGATTGTTCCATAGGGTGTATATGCACATATCTATGTATATTATAATATGTATATAAGTATATATATATATAGATAGATGGATAGATAGATAGGTAGATACATAGATACATAGATAGATAGAGATATAGAGATATAGATACAATGGCCTTTATTCTATGAATGTTTCTCAATGTTGCGTTACTCCAAGACCATCCGCTTCCCTTGAAGAAAATGTGGGGCCCTTTTGTCGTCCAGCGTTGCTTCAATCCTCACAAAAATCTCAACGGGTTATAGAGGGGATACAGTAAATGGGAATATAATTGGGAATACTAAATGGGAATAGTTTGGAAAAATACTATAATAGTGAGTAAATAGTAAATTACAGCAAGTTTGGGAGTATCTGTATTCCCAATACAGTTACAGTAAATGCCAAACTATCTATAATTGGGAAAATATCAACGGGTATCTCAATCGTATTTTCCCATTTATAGATCACTATAACCACTAAATGGGAAAATATCAATGTCACTTAGTGGTTATATTGGGTATCTCAAGTATTTTCCCATTTATAGAGGGGTCGGTTTGGTATACTATTTATTAGCAAACTTTATACAGAATGATTTCAAAATGAGGAATCAATCAAACAGCGGGAAGTTGGGACATCTGCTTCAATCCCCCAGTTTCACTCTTACTTTGACGAGCATCCCAGCGACGATCCGCGCGTAATAACCCTATTGCAACCCAGATGTATATATATATTATATTATATATATACACATTGTATATTATATACATATATGTGATATATAGCCTAGTAATACACAGGTTATTGACAGGCAGTGCAGCTTCCCACATCCAGAACCTGAAGAATCGCCAGGGGCGAAAAAAAATGGCGGCCATGGCTCCATAGTGCAACAATTTTGGTTGACTGTCAAATATCTGCGGATCATGTTTTTCTTGGATTTGCTTTAAGAACCCACAAAATGAATCGTTTTGTTTTAACAAAAAAAAACATCTTCAGCAAATATGAGTTGTGTCTTCATCTGTTTTCATTTCCAGGATGCAAAGAAATTGCGAAATTTTCAGGGTGAAGAAAACTGAGAACTGCATCTAGGAGGACTGAAAATTCCCATGGTAGCTCCGCGACTATTCTCATACTTCCACACATCCCATTTGGGATCTAGCCTTGTGAGACATGGCTGAGGGAAGATAGATGTTGATTCATCAGCTGGGACCCGTAATATAGATAATATATATAATATAGATAATATATATATATATAATATAGATAATATATATATATATATTGTTGATTATCATAGAAATTGTCCACCGGCTGTTTTTTTTGATGGGAGTGCCTTTCTGAACCGTGATTTCCTTCAGCGGCTTTCTCGTGCGTTAAAAGCTTGCGACGGAAGCAGCACGATGAAGCAACGAGACGAGGGATGTTAACGCTTCCACATGTGGACTTGACTGGCTACGGATCAATACCTATCACATCATTTTAAAAAATGGTTATCAATACAAAAAAATGGCTATACTTATCCCATTTTCCAATTTTTGTGGGAAATGAACATCCATTTTTTCTCAGCTATGATGTGAACATCCATAAGGTCAAAGAATCGACCGTCCCGCGCTGGAATCTTGAGCCCCGAAGCCAAGAGATGTACCCAAAACGGTTTTTTTCAATACGTCGCGATGGAAAACCACCAGTGTTACCCTCTGGTAAATTAACATAGACCCTGGCAAATGGGGGTTGGAAGACTAGTTTCAAATAGAATTTCATTGTTTTCAGGGTCTATGTTTATTTACCAGAGGGTAACAGATCAAAGAAATCAGACTAAACGGCTAATTGTCCCTGGTTATGTTAAATTACCAAAGAGTAGTTTCTCTCTCCAAACACAAACCATCTCTGGTGGATATCTGTAGAAAGTAGCCATACCCATTTCCCAAAAATCAAAAACAGAGTTTTCAAGGCGCGAAAATTTGCATGCAACATGGAGGAGCCAACTATGTGGCCAAGTGATTTTCAAGGTGGAAAGGATGGTTCACTAGATTTCCGTGTTTGGGTTCATGAAGAAAAACCATCTACCCCAAAAATGGGAATGGCTATTTCCTTTCGCTGCCCGTAGTGGTCCCTGTGGTATCCAGTACTGTTGGGTTCCCCATGTGTGGGATGTATCCCCAGTGTTTGTTGGTTAGATATGTCCATCCGATCCCCATGTTTTGTTTGCTATATCCCCATGTATCTTTATATTATATATATACATTCATATTATCATTGCTATTATTACTTTTAACATTATTATTTTTAATTATTATTATCATTGTTATTATTATTGTCATTATTTATTATGAGTTATTATCAGTTATTATCAATTCTTATTGTCAATTATTATCAATTATTATTATCAATTATTATCAATTATTTTCATTTATTATCAATTATTATTGTCATCATTATTATCATTATGATTATGATTAAGATCATTAGTATTATTGTCATTATTATTACTATTCTACTCCATTTTTGGTCCTGAAAAAATGGTGATTTTCCATGGCTATGTTAGTCATAACCAGGGGGTAACATTTTTTAAAATCTCTCCTCACAAGAATAATGCCAAATCTCCACCAAATTTCGCCTCCTCTTGCTGCAAGGTGTGGATGTGCTCCTCATGTCCGTGCGATTCGTGTCCATGGCTGTGCGACGCATGACCAGCGTGACCATGGGAGTGGCCATGCGAAGTGTCACCTGCGGGATTGAAGGACTACCCGGAAGGGGTTATCCAACATAGCTATGGAAGCCATAGCCCATTTATGATAAAGATGATCATTCACCTCTTCAAAATGGTGCTTTTCCAGTTCGCTACGTTAAATAAACAGAGGGTATATCAAAGGTTGACCCCCCTAGCGGCCCTAGCATCCTCGGACACAACTGACGGGCCCAGCACAGATCTGAGTTTTCTCCCCACGGCCATGCTTGGCACAGCCATTTAGCAGTACCCAGAAGGACATTCGCACATGGTCTTTACAAATCTAAGTGGGGCCATTGAGCTTTTCTCTCGCCTCCAAAGCCCTGCGGTGCAAGTTTGTGTCACTGAAATGACCCATTTCTCCCAGGGCAAAGCCTAAGATGGTGACCATGTGCAAAGTAGTAGGATGATTAACTCCTAGCTCCTTCGCTCTGGTTTCTAAGACCTGACGAAGCAACCCAACCGCTTCACGGTAGTTGCGAGCCCCGGTCAGGCTCGTGATGCCCAGAGCAGCCGTGGCTTCCATGGTATCTGGATCTTGAGGCCCCAGAGTCGCAGCACAGCTCTACCACTTCATTGGGCACCTCAGGACCTCCACCCTCTTGTTGATCATGTCAAGAAGTATTGACGTAAATCGCTCCAACGACCTGCAGGTACTGGGGGGTTGAGAACCGAGAAGTCTTTCTCTGGCTTCTAAAGCACGCCTTTGCAGCGTCAAGGCTTCTCCCAGATCACCTCTGCCATGCAGTGCGAGTGCCAAGTGGCTAACAGACTGCAAAGTCTCAGGATGCTCGGGACCCAATGTCTCTTCTCTGACCTCCAAAGCCCTGTGGTGCAATTCGATTGCTTCCTGATGATTGTCCATGTCATTCAGAGTGATAGCCAAGTTAGTCATCGTGTGCACAGTATCAAGATGGCTAGGACCCAATTGCTTTTCTCTGAAGGCTACAACCTTGCGATACAACTCAGCAGCTTCACCTTCACGACCCTGCATTTTTGAAAAAAGTACCGCCAAATTGGCCATAGAGAAGACCGTAAGTTGATGCTCAGGACCAAAAGCTTTCAAGTAGGCATCGAGGATTTCTCGATCAATCTTTTCAGCTTCCCGCAAGTTGCCCATGTCCATCAGAATGAGAGCCAGCCTGTGGCGACTTACGAAACCATAATGGCTCTCAAGACCATATGTTGACTCGCAAAGTGCCACCATTTCCTGAGCCACAGGCAACGCCTCCTGATAGAAGCCACGCAGTCGTAGTGCCTCAGCGAGCCTCCACTTAGCGTCCAGGTTTGCAGGTGCGAGGCGCACACGCTGGCGCAGGGTATTCAGCAACTGTGCACGGGCATGTTGGACACCGTCTTCACCAGATACTCGGAGCACCACGCAAGAGCGAGGAGGCTTGCCCGGCTCGTTCAAGAGTTTGTTCGCAAGATTCCTGCCTGGTTCCTTCCCTGCTGCCTCCATTTCTGGAGTGGCTCTGATGGAGACATCGAAGGCATTCGCAGGATCGATGAGGATTGGGACACAAAAGGCTGCCCTCTTGGGATATTCTCTATCTACATATGCTGGACCTTTCTGTGGATCATCGCTGTCTCTGTCTCTCTGCATCATGTTGCGGAAATTATTGTCTAGCAGCTGCTCACGACTTTCCCACTGGTCACGAGGCAATGGGACTGTATAGATCCCCTTGCCCCACCAGGCATTGCCTTCGGTTCTCAAAGATGCCCAAATTTCAGCTGCTTCCTTGCTGGGATGGGTGATGTTTCCGAAGGCAAGTTCGCTGGTGTAATGAAAAAACACTTGCTGACCATCACCTGAGGTCAGGTCAATGGCATCGCGCCACACTTGGATCCCAGTTGGCTTGTGCATCCACGTCCATTCTTCGCAATAATCATCATTATGCCTATAATCAGCATGGCGAAATTCTGCTCCTTCGCGGTGTTTCTCGAAATATTCCCTCAAGTTGCTTGATCATGTGGAAATACTATTTTTCCATATTGATAGGGTTTATCTTTTAGTTTTTGCAAGTAATGCCCCATGAATTTATCTCTGTCATTGTGGTGCTGTCGCCTTTCCAACACCTCGGCTGCCATGGCATCTTTGGAGCTGCTGATCCTCATGGCTTGGAAGTGAAACCGCCGTTCAGCTCATGGCGAAGTTTGACTAAGCGGGTACCCTCTGGTTATGTCAAAATAGCTATTGAAAATGACCATTTATTTTGTGGATTTTCCTATAAAAAAAGGTGATTTTCAATAGCTATGTTAAATTACCAGAGGGTATACAACGAGTTATAGTAGTTGTATCCCAACTTTTGGGCTACCATAGATGTACCCATTAATCATCCCAACTGCAGTAACCACCAAGAATGGATGCTTTAGCATTGGAATTGCCAATTCTGTGGGGCCTTGCCCAATTGTTTGAACAAACCCTTATTTTGCAGTCGCTTTGTGTAGATAACAATATGTTGGTTGTGGTACTAAAAACTCGCGTCCAGGGATATCAGATAAAACCGTCATCATCAGTCTATGTGCCGCGTTTCAATTCGGTCTATGTGCCGCACCAAAGCATGTTTTACAGTACAAATACTGTATGTGGATACATTCTCATTCACCAACCTGAAAAGTTCAGGCATTTGGGGACGATGCCCTCAATCCATTCACCATCATCTCTGCCGTGACGGAAAGGGACATCAGGTATAATTGATCCAGAAATCTGCTGCGATCCTGAAGTGCTTCGCTGCTTTGTAGATCCAAAAAACTCAAAAAGGCCATGAGTCAAGAGCCAGGTTGGATTTCACTCCATCGCTGGGGCCTGGTGATGATTCCCCAAAAAGAATGAACCATCATTGACACGTCGTGTCGGAAAAGGACGTGAGGTTTTTACCATCATTTATCCAGATCTTCTCCCCTTCGTGATGGTTCTATAACTTACAATCCTGCATTTCTAGATGATTTTCGCTAGAAAACTCCATCTCGACAAAAATGCCCAACGTTCGATGACCGGAAGGTATATTTCATCGTCGTCATCATCATCATCATCATCATCAATATCAATAATGACCTTTTGCTTAAAAAAAAAGAGGGGCCGGTTTGGTATACCATCTATCATCATTTACCTGTTGTTAAAGGGGTAGACAAACCTCTCTATTAATCAACCAACCAATGGGAAAAGGACATCTATGATCATCATCATCATCATCATTATTATACCAAGGATATAGCTGATCTGGACCCGCCTTCGTCTCTGTGCCTGGCTCAAAAGATGGGATGGCCAACTGAAGGCTTTTAGTGGGAAAATCAGAACAATGGAGAGAGAAGCTATATGGGTTATATATCTATATTATACGTATACTGTATATATAATGGTATATATATTTATATATGATATATGATATATATATATATAGTATATATATATAGTTATATTTACATGATATGTATATATATATATATGATATATATATATATGGTATGTATATATGATATGATATATATATATACCGTATATATATATCATATATATATATATATACATATGATACATATATATATATACTGTATTACTGTGTATGTCATTATATATATATACATATAATATCATTATATATGGGTTATATATGGGTTTTGAACCAAGTACCAACTCAGATGCACATCCAGCAACTGCCCACCGCGCCTGTGTCGGTGTGAATGATACAAAAGCATCCACAGACTTAGCATGCGATGTTGCATCAAGGCGGCATTTCTACCCATGGAAACGTGGCAGTGGATCAAAACTGCCAAAGACTATCCAAAATACAGATCTTTGCTATTGAAAATGGCCATTTATAGTTGATTTACCCACTAAAAATTGTGATTTTCTACAGCTACGTGAGTTTTTGCCACAAATTTTCTTGTAACCACATCAATTTCAGGGGAACCCGCAGGCGCGTTTTCGGGAGGGTCGTGGTGGAGTCGTTGTAATTTTGCCCCAACCTGACAGCTTCTTCTCCGCTCATCTCAGCCAAGAAACAGGTAGGTCAGCGCCCCCAAGGTCACGAAAAAGGTGGAACAGTCCACCAAGATACCGAACTGATCCTTGGAGAGCCAGATCAAGCAAAAATGAGCCCAATGAAACAGCAATACAATCTAACAATTTATTCACCTTTCCAAAACATTCCTTGTTTGAAGGTGTCCAGAAATTGTGGTACCCCTATTTTCACCATTTTTCGGGTGGAAATCGATGTTTTTCGACAGTCCAAGAAAAACCTAGCCATGTTGGATAGTCCAATTCCCCCTCTCTATCATCCTTAAAAGCCCTATTTTTCCTCGTTCAACACGGCGATTTTCCAGGCCTGGCCGCCTGGCCCAATCCTCGACCGCCAAGCTACAGGACTTCTCAGCAGGATGCCCGAGCCATACATCACCAGTGTGGCGAAGGATGTCAGGGCAGAATCCACGGCGCCTGGCGTACTACGGCGCCCGGTGGTTCTTCCGTTTTCGGGATGGTTTTTGGGATCAGAGGGATCCAAAGCTTTTTGTTTTTCTCAATGGATTGGTTTCAGGGGAAATTTTACCCGGAAACCCCCATGATCTTCATGGGAAAATCGATGGTTTCCGGTTAAGATTTTCCCTTAAGCCAATCCATGGTTTTTCGGATCCATGGGAAAAATATGGAAATCCGATGGGATTTACCAAGCGGATTTAACCATCAAACCTAGGGATGTTTTGAGTAGGATTGAGCAGGGATTCACCTTCAAAACAAAGGTTTGTTTGTCCACCGAAGCCATGGATTTATCATCAACAAAAGGATGTTACCCTCTGGTTATGTCAAAATAGCTATTGAAAATGGCCATTTATAGTGGATTGTCCCATTAAAAATGGTGATTTTCCATAGTTTTTTGTATGTTTACCAGAGGGTAATCATGAAAAATAGGGATTCACCAATTTTTCCAACGGAAATCCCCACCGAAACCATGGTATGATTGTAGGTCTGAGGGGCTCCTCCCCATCGCAGTACTGTATGGATTGGTGAGTTCCCAGAAAAAACATAGAAATAATGCTACAACATTACATGTGTGATATCATATGTTATTTATCATATGTTATCAAATGTTGAATATTCTATCTGCTGGCTACTTAATATATATTATGTTATATTGTATGTATGTGATATTCTATGGCTACGGTGGGTCATTTTTTTAGATACCTCAAATATTGGATTGCACCAAAAATGAGCAGAATCTGCGGCGTTTCCTTGGTTTAAAAAATCCCCCCATTCTCATATGTATCCAAATACCAACCATCACACTTATACAAATCACATATATATATACAGGTATAGTCATGCTGGAGTAGATAGAATATGGGAATATCTTCGAAAAAAACATATTCTATCTACTTCAGGATTATCATATACACATATTTGGGTTTGTCTGAAAATGGGCTACCTCTAAATCTATTGGTTAATCAATGTTAATCATCATTCTCTCCCAAAAAAAAAATGCTCTTTGAGGGCAAAAATAAAAATCGACACAAAGTCCGCCTATGGCTGACCGATGCCGCGCGTCGGACAGCTCCTGGCTGTAAGATGTTGATAGTTGATAACTATATGGCATTTTACCATAGGAAAATGCTTCTTCAACCAACTAAAATCAGGATTCCATGGGATTTATAGCTGATTTATGATAGCTAAGGTGACGTACATAACTTGGTGAATTCTATGGTTGATTAAGGGGATATAACTGTATTCATGGGGTTAGTGAAGCAACAAAACATCACCTTGTATAAATTTCAAATGGACATCAAAATCGGAAAATAATCGGATTTTTTGCTGCAATACCCTCTGGGAATCTAACATATCTATGGAAAATGGCCAATGAAAGTAAATAATTTACCTATGAAATATGGTGGAAAACTCCAGGGATATCCCAAGAATAAGTGGCTTATAGTAGTGGATATCCCGTAATTCAGTGGTTAAAAAAACGCATATGGAGGTTCCTCTGTTTGCTGGGGGTCACCCCAACAAATCATCCGTTTGATGTTCGGATTTTCCCATGGAAATAGTCACCATCCTAAGCTCGCTTGGGGATCCCCATGTATGGAACCCCCCATATCATTACCCACTGGGATGTACACTTGACCAAACCCCTAAAAGGTGGGGCCCCTTACAACTCGTGGGGCCCCCGTGGCCACGAAATCGCTATCAGTTGGTGCCTAGATAACTCCAATTTCACGATGGTTTTTTCATGATACGCAAATAACGAACTAGTATTCATGGTGTTTTTGTTCACCAATTTATAACTGAGGGGGCCCCACATTGTAGTTATAAGATGTTATAAGCAGGTTTACACACCCAACTTTGGTGAAAAAATCACCATCGAACCATCAAATTCAGCAAGTTCTTGGCGTCAACTTGTTGCGATCGTTTTTTTCGGGACCCACCCACAGTGCTAATATATATATATATATATATGGTATAACTATGGATAACTCCATCGGAACTTAAGATCACCAGGGGACATCAAACATCGGAATGTCAGGATCCTAAAATGGAGCTACGTTAGTACCATATAAGACTGGCCATATGAATTGTGGGGATATTCCCCGTTTCATGGCCATTGAAAACATGAAAAGAAGTCCTCATTCAGGGATCTGAATTCATCTACCCTCTAACGTTTACATAACTATGGGAAATCAACATTTTAAGTAGGAAATCAACTATATATATTGGCCATTTTCAATAGCTATGTCAAATTACCAGAGAGTATATTCCCATGATGGTTGATTATTCCCATGATGCTTTGGGGATCTATTCCATTATAAATCCCCATTGTATCACCAATTAATCTCATGGTCAACCAATTAATCCCTATTAAATGTACCAGAGGGTACCCATGTGGCGAAGGAAAGACTCTTGGTTTTGACCCACATCCCGATGGTCCCCCCATTCTCCATCCCCCTGACAAGACAGTTCGCTATGGAAGCCATGGCCCGTGAGTGGATTTGCCCAGCTACCCTCTGGTAATTTGACAGTTTGCTATTGAAAATTGCCATAGAAATAGTGGATTTACCCATTAATAGCATGGTGATTTTCCATAGATTTTTGTATGTTTACCAGAGGGTATATCCCATTAAAAATCTCCATTATATCTGATCTGGTTGTTGGTTTTAACATGTTTTAACAGTCTTGAAAAATATAAAAATCAATGGGAAAGATGACATCCCATATATTCAGGAAACTAAAAAATGTTTGAAACCACCAACCAGTGATGCTTGATACATCCCCTTGATATGCTATTGTATTCTATTCGATTTCACTATATTTATTCCACTATATTCTATTCTGTTCCACTATATGCCATTATATTCCATTGTATTCCATTGCATTCCATGATATCCCCATATTTTAATAGTTAAAAATACATTAAAATACCAGAATTATCGAAAGACACTTCTTCAGAATTTGCAATGGGGATATCTGACCATTCTTCTCCTTTACCGGAGGGTCAACCGTTATAAAAATCCCCAATATGCCAAATCTCTCCGCGCACCTGTTCGGTGTTCAAGACGCCCAATTCGAAGCCATAGAGGCCGGGTCGAGCCAGGCACCTTGTGCTGAGAGTGGATGTTTCCACAACAATGTGGGGCCCCCAAGATAGCTAAGTTGGTTTATAACTCCAATAACTTTGGTTTATGGTACTTATAACTATAGTTAATGGGGTTTATAAACCAACTTACAACTGGGGGGCCCCACATTGAAGGTATGTCTGAAAATTGGGTACCCTCTGGTTATGACTAACATAGCCATGGTTTTTAGATGGCCCTAATCGAAATAGATGGTTTACCGAACTTAATAGCATGGTGATTTTCCATGGCTATGTGAAATAACCAGATGGTACCCCTAAACCTATGGGGTAATCATGGGTACTCATCATTTTCGTTATTACAACGATCGTGGGGATACCCCATGTTCAGACAAACCCCTTGGATCATCGCCGTATCGTTTTCCGTCGCATTTGAAGGTAATGTTGGGGATTGCTGATTATTGGCTTTGCCAGATTACACCAGGTTTTTTTTAGAGTAACCCCCAACTGATAACTCATCAACGCAGACTTTGGTCACTCCTCGCCTAATGGTTGTTTTTTCCTTCCTAAGTACCATCGAAAAGCGCGTTTCAGTAGAGGAACATGTGGGACAGAACCCATAAGTGAGGATAAGCAGTGTGAATGCGAATTGATCTGCAAAAATGCGAAGCATCAACGGTTCAATATCAGAATCAATTTAGTGGTGCTCAACGTAGGGAATTTTCGGGAATGATCCACTGGCTAACTAATAATAATCCCAGCAACCCTCAGCAACCCATCCATTCCCTACGTAAAACGCACCAGTAAGTATTTGTATATATATATATATGGATATAAACCCAATTAACTATAGTAATATCATGTTATATCTACCATAAACCATAGATAAGTCAAAAATGTCTTTGCAAAATCACTGAGCCGCAACGGGTGCCCACATCGATGTCATCGATGTCATCGATGTCATCGACCCGGGAATCCTGGAGCCAGGGCACACCAAGGCCATGAAGAGCAGCAGGGCGGAGGTTGGGCCCGTGTCAGGCGCCTTCGTTCCGGCGCCGGAACCAGCACGTGTTTGTCACGACATCTCCGAAGTTAGAGGTACCCTCTGGTTATGACATTCATAGTTTGTCATGATTAAGCCATGGCCCATAGAAAAAGAAAGTTTACCCTCTGGTAATTTAACATAGCTATTGAAAATCACCATTTATAGTGGATTTTCCCATTGACAATGGTGATTTTCCATAGTTATGTTAGTTTACCAGAGGGTACCTATTAATAGCATGGTGATTTTCCATGGCGAACTGTGAAAAATAACCAGATGGTAACTAACAAAAAAATCGGGATTGAATCATCAACAATCAGATTTGTTCAGCATCAACAAGATGTCACCAATGCATTCTCCGGATATCGTTGGATCTATGATCAAAACTTAGAAATGGTGATATACATATATATATATATATGTATGGGTCCAAATTTCTAGGATATTTTTGGGTGATATTTCTAGGATATTATGGGTCCTGCCAGTCACCTCATAAAGAAAAAACAACAGGCAGGGGAATTCCATAGCTTTTGTCCGGCCATATTTTTGATGGTGAAATCCATCATTTTTCATGGTGAAATCCCGTGCATTGATGGTTGCATCGTTTTTTTCATGGGAAAACCATAGGAAAACCATAGGAAAATGGTGATTTAATGAGGGTTTATGGTGGTTTAATGGGATTTAATGGGATTTACCCTCTGGTATATTTACAAAAAACTATGGAAAATCACAATTTTTAATAGGTAAATCAACTATAAACGGCCATTTTCGAAAGCTATGTTTGTTTACCAGAGGGTACCAGTGTTACCAGTATTGGTGACATCAATTCTTGGTTGATCATAACCATATCCCCACATACCCTTTGTAACGAAATCGAAAGAATCCACTATGTATAGATAATTTTACCGTCAACACCTCCATTTATAGGGAACTGTCCAGCACGCCACGTTTGATTCCCAAAGGTATATCCCACTAAATCCATTTAAATCCCACATAACATAGTGCATTATTCATAGTTCATTGGTGATATCAATACATATACATATACATGTACATATACATTTACATATATATGTACATATACATATAATTTTTGCATATGTTATCCCCATAGAAACCAAAAAAAACCAATGCCCTCCGCCGCAGCGTCGCCTGCGCGAAGGCCAGCAGCGCGAGCACCGTGCAGCCGCTGAGCCATGACACGAAGAGGCCATCCGCGCTGCGGTGGCCCAGACGCTCGCAGGCGCGCGGGTGCCTTCGGGCCCCCGGCGTGGCCCGGGGATCATCGCTTCTATGGGATTTTCATGGGATTTTCACGGGATTTTCATGGGATTTTAATGGTGTTTTAATGGGTTTTTAATGGTGATTTTCATGGGATGTTCATAGGATTTTAATGGGATTTTCACGGGATTTTCATGGGATTTTCATGGTGATTTTCATGGAATTTTCATGGGATTTGAATGGGATTTTAATAAGATTTGAATGGGATCTTAATGGGATTATTGAATGGCCATTCTTTCTATAATGGTGATAGTGATAGTTGGTTATGGTGATTTTATCAATTGAATAACATTGGATGGCTATCATGGATGATCCTTAGGAAGATGTGGTGTATCCTATTGAAAATGGTGATGAAAATGTATGAAGATCGTTCTTTTTATGTGATGATCAATGGATGATAATGTGAAAATGATGTTGGATGACTATCATGTGAATCGGACATTTTTATGGGACGATCAGCAGATGAGAATGGGATTATGGGATTTTGGGATTTTGGGATTGTAATGGAATGGAATGATACCCTCTGGTAATTTAACATAACTATGGAAAATCACCATTTTTAATGGGAAAACTCACTATAAATGGCCATTTTCAATAGCTATGTTAAATTACCAGAGGGTATCATGTGGTCCCCACTGAGAACTGTGGATACCCTGTGAATTTTCCCAGCTCCTTAGCTCCATCCAAAGTATGTGAATGGAATCATGGGATGGTGATGATGAGAAACCATGGGGAAATCATGGGGAATTCCTGAGGAAATTGATGATGATGATGATGATGATGATGATCATGATGATGATGATGATGGGATCACAAGAGGATTAGCACTGGATTATCAATGGATTAACAATGGATTAAGTTTCGAGTTAATGGAAATTTGTAAAAATTCTCCATCATCATCTCATTTCGATTCCAGATTTTTCAAAATCTGGGATTATCTTGGATGTGGATCAAAATAGTATGATAATTTGATGACAATGGGATTTTATCTGTTGGGATTGTAGGGTAACTGTCCGTGAGGACTATGTGGGTTCTTCCTACTGTTGATGGAAGAAATCCTGCACCACCTTGGATGGTTGAAACCCTACAAATAATGGGATAAACCACTTATCAACTGGTGTAGGATTTCTTCCATCCACAGTAGTTTTGGGGATGAAACAGCCCTATTTGAGATCAGCGACCGAACAGGGCCAGAAACCAGCTTCGGCTGGGGAATCCGAAGCTAACTTGGATGGATTGCCCCTCGTTGACCTGTTGGATGAAGTTAGATGCTTTTGACAGGGACCTTGCCATAACAACCACCACCTTGTAGTGGCTTCTTACCCATTTACCCAACTATGGGATGTTCCACAAATATAACTGATAATACTGTTGTGATAACCCCTCTATCTGGGGTACAAACACTTTTCGTGAAATTGCTCGGTGCCATTGGCTCCTGGCTATACGCATTTCCTGGCACAACTCAGGACTGCTAAAAACTGCCAGGTGATAAATCGGACGGGATCCCCAGTGCGCAATAAGAAATCCATTTACCCTCCGGTCATCAACACTTTTCAAGCTGGGAAATCCACTATAACTAACTCTATATATATAACATTGTATAACTATCATTGTATAACTATCATTGGTATAGCTATCATTGTAGAACTATCAATCCCCAAAAAAAAATATCTTGGGGCTGTTGAATCTGGCCTTCCAGGTGGCTGCCACCCTCCCTGTCAAGTGGCGCTAGCAATCCCAGGACGCCCAACAAAGCACCGGCTCCCCTGGCGATGCTTCCGGGGGTGGCAAAAAATAGGTGTGCGCCCATTAGTTGGTATATAACCCCTATAACATCCTACAAGGTGGTGCCCCATAGCCCCAGTTCGTGAACGCTAAGTTGTTGCAAATAAGTCCAAATAAACTATGATTTATAAGTGATATATCTATAGTTAATGGGGATTATAAACTAATTTATAACTGGGGGGCACCACCTTGTATAACTATGCATTCACTGCTGGAACTGAACCCGGGCTGTGCTGTTTTTTGTGACCCGTTCCTGTGAGCTGGTTTTTGTTGTGATTACTTTGATGGAAACGGTTCGAGCAACTATTTTCCCTCGGCTCTCGATGGACTTGATGGATCTTGACCTCCACCCAAAATGTCATCCATGGTGAAGTTCGGGTCTCTCATCCGCTTCCGAAGCTCCTTTCGTTTTGCCTCACGCAATCTCTTCTCTTCCAGTTGCATCTGGCGTCGTTTCTTGTCTTGTCGCTCAGCTTCCCGGTACCTGACACAGCACACCAACAAATGGCGAAGGGAAAAACGAGTTTCTTAACACAAAACAACTCTTGGGTGTTCAGTTTACATTGGTAAAAAAAACTTGGAAGAAAGCAAACATGCTTTCAGGCAAGCTTCAGACTGCGTTTCCATCTCTCCAGCAATCTTTTCAGATCCTCGAACGTACTAGACACAGGACTACCCGATCTCAAGAATTTTGGCGCGCTGTAGACCCAATGCTTCGGCCTGTGTTTCTTCTTGTCATGTTGGCACATATAGCGCCTCTCCCAAAGGTGTTTGTGTTTCATGCGTAACGGCTCGCTTGCATCGTAGAGACGCCGAAGGCGCCTCAAGCAACGCTCCTCGTTTCTGCCCACCACTTGATACATCTCAGCCGCAGCTGATTGGAATTGCTCCCACAATTTTTGCAACCCCTCCGGGGAAAAGTGCTCGAAAACATTGTAATTCCTCCTGCAAGGTTTCACAACACCACGAAGGGGTTCCAGAATCTTGCGCAGCTTCTTCAAATCTTCCAAGTTTTGCACCGGCGGGGAGCGCAGCAAATGGGAGCGACCCAGAAAAATACCCGCATGCTGGGTCAAAACAAAGTTCGCTTTCATCTCCTCTGGCTGTCGACCTTGCTGCAGCGCAGAACGTCTCAAGGCTTCCCCAAGACGCTCCTCAAAGCTTCCTGATGGCGTGAAGGGCTGGAAGGGGGGTAGTTGCTAGGGGCAATGGCTGATGCATGGGACTCTCTGAATCTAACATGGCCGTGGGGAAAAAGAAAACAAACCCTTTTCAACGGGGAAAGCACGTATAAAAGGAGATACATGGAGGGTCTTTTAATTGGCAGACATTGGATTACAAATTAACAAGGAATGCAATTTTGGTGGATCATTCCAGTTTCCACCAGCTAGACCAGTCACATCTCAAGCCCCAATGATTTATCTATCCATCAGCAGCTTCTATATATCTACATTCTGTGGTCATAAGTACACATGTCTCAGCGCTTTCTTTCCTCCACCCTTCATCCTGGTTTCTGGTCTCCGGAAACCCTGAGTCAAATGTGAAACTCGCCATTCAAAACATCCACATGGTGATACCTCGTAAGTCAAGCTTTGTTTTTGCTCGCCCCGAATCGAATGGCGCCTTCGATCTCCTCTGTATTGTTCTGCATCTTTTGCTTCGTCGCAGTTAGGATCAACAAGTGCTCCAAAGCTGTAGCAAGGTCGCAACTTCGGCTGTGGATAGCAATGGCCTCGAAAAACCTGGTTCGGTGGTTGATGTTTTTCACTTATCTTGCAAGCCTAAAATGCGTGCGTTTCCAAAAAGAGGTTTCTACCTTTGAAAAAAAAAACAAAAAAACTCAAACCAACACCTTTGCTTGTTTTATCAACAGGATAATAGGAATTTACCACCAAATGGTATTGTAACACCATTGGAAAGCAGGATGCAAACAACACGCATGATTGAGTCTTGATGAGTCTTGTACGTCTCGAAGAAACTTTCCTTACCAAATCATCCACTTCTTTACGAAAAGAATGACTGAAAAGGGTTCCAAAGCATGCGGGCCAACAACGCTATAAAAGAGTTGCGGTCGTATTCCCCCATGTGGCCAAACGCAAAGATTTTTTCTTCCGAGAAACACTGATGCGTGATACTTCGAACATCTCCTGTTCGCGACTTTTATACCTTTCATCCCCGTACTTTTGGAGCCAGGGGGTGCTCGTCTTCTCTGACGCCCATGGCACACCACCTAACAGCTACACAAGGCCAGGATAGGTTGGCAGAGAAAGCGAAGAGTCGTCCCTTCATGTTCCAGCAAATCTACTGTGCCATGGTCATAACCATGGTATCTACGGCAGGATCATCCAGGAATCCATCTCACAATGGGTTTTTTGTCAATGGCTATATACATAATCATAAATCCCTATGGATGATGACCATCCCGAAGTCAGTTGGTGCAACTCAACATAAACAATGTTCAAAACCTCAAAACCATCCGTATTTCCATTGTACTAGTTGGCTAAGATTCCCTCATGGATTATGATAATGTCCAATGTGTTGGGTAGTATAATCCGGTAATCCCATGGTAATCCCCTGGTAATCCCCTATAATCATCAACCAAGATATAATCATCAACCAAGACATCTTGGACTGTCCCCCCTTACACTAACAGTCACCACAGTCCAGACCACAAAAAAAAACACAAGCACGATGGACCCAAAATGCCATTGAGAAGTTGGGTTGGGTTGGCACATTTTGTCAGTCTACCAACCCACAAAGAAATTGGGGTTTTCACAGCATGAACCCAATAGTTCATAAAGAAGTTGGGTTTGTATATACTTTGACCGGAAAAGGCCAATGAGAGCTTAGGTCTGTATATTGAAAAATCCTGGGCAATCCAGTACAGAGACTCAGATTATGCACCATCCTATCGAACCAAAGGAGGCCCACCAAATAAATGGGTTTATGCTTTGTAGGCTGCCCCCAGAGTGATTTTGTTGGATAAAATTTCTTCATGACTAATATGACTTATCACAGATAAAACAATCATATCTCATTACATATGACGCGTGCGACAGAATCATGACATATGACGCATGCGACAGAATCATGTGTGCTGATACTCTGACACACCCTAATCTTTACTTTGGAAAGCTTTGCTTCTCAGTTTAAAAGTATCATTGGCCGAAGGTTTTTCATATCGAATCATATGAATCACATGAATCATTTCATTGACTTGGCTGCCTGGTGTTCAAGCTAATCTGGGGCTTCACACTAACAGGTGCCAGAGATGGCCACACTAACAGGTGCCAGAGCTGGCCACACTAACGGGTGCCAGAGCTGGCCACACTAACGGGTGCCAGAGCTGGCCACACGGGTGGCACGGCCCTCAAGCAGGATCCAGGCTCAGGCTTGGCTGGCAGGCCCTAGTTGACTGCAGGTTCAGGACAACCTGGGGATTTGGGGGGGGCTGCGGTTGTAAACTTTTGGGCTGGGAAGTTGTACTTTTTAAGCCTAAACGTTGTGGTTTTTTTTATGCTTTTTCTTGTGGTTAGTTGTGCTGTTTGTTGTGCTAATTTGTGTGATCAAATCATCAGGGAAGTTGTGCGCTTTTTGTGCTCTTTTTGCATGGGAAGTTGTGCTTTTGATATTTTCTACCTTTTCCAAAAGCACGGCCGAGAGCACAAAAAAAACACAACATCAAGCAAGGGTTTTCCCTTAGCAAAATTTGTACCTTAGCAAAATTTGTCCCTTAGCAAAACTTGTCACTGAAAAATTTGTCCCTTAGCAAAGTTTTCCCCTTAGCAAAATTTGTCCCTTAGCAAAATTTGTCCCTTAGCAAAACTTGTCCCTTAGCAAAATGTGTCCCTTAGCAAAACTTGTCACTGAGCAAAATTTGTCCCTTAGCAAAATTTGTCCCTTAGCAAAATTTGTCCCTTAGCAAAACTTGCCCCTGAGCAAAATTTGTCCCTTAGCAAAACTTGTTCCTGAGAAATGTCCCTTAGCAAAATTTGTCCCTTAGCAAAATTTTCCCTTTAGCAAAATTTGTCCCTTAGCAAAACTTGTCCCTGAGCAAAATTTGTCCCTTAGCAAAATTTGTCCCTTAGCAAACTCGTCCCTGCACTGCTGCCTTTCCCTTTGCCCAAAAGGGATTTTATCCAACAAAATCTCTGCAAGCTCCAACTGAATAGATTTGATCTGGTTCCAAGTAGGCTGCCCCCAGAGTGATTTCATACTTCGGTTCAACATCAGAAAAATTTGGATTGAGAAGATTGGGCCTCTCAAATTGTTTGTGGTTTTGGTCCCTGGGTTGTTGTGCAATTTTGGCTGGAAAGCTACAATTAAAATCCATTATTCCACTGTTAGTGGGGGGAGTCACTCCAAAAGATACAATCAAGAGGGGCTTTGAACACTGCTCAAGCAAAAAAAAATCGACGTAAAGCCCCGAAAATGGTCCACATTTGACTGGTTGATTTTGCGGTTGTTTCAAGTCTATCCCTCAGGTTTCGGGGGGTCCTTAAATGAAAAAAAAAACTTCCAGATTCCAAATGATGTTTGCAGATGTTACCTTCGTCAAATTGACAGATGTTGTCAATGTTTCGTGGTACGAGTACTCATCCCATTCACCAATGATTTGAAGCCCTGCCGAGAAACTAGTGCCATGCAGCTCTGTTTCGCAGACCCTTGAGGTCTTGAGCCAGATTTCTCACGCTGCGATTCTCCGCTTGGTTCCACTTTGGTCACCATCCACTGCTGCAACAGCACCCGCTGTTGCTCCGAAAACTTCTCGCGGATCATCTCCAATCGAAGATCCCGAGGCAATTGCCTCAACATGCTCTGAATCCTCAGCATCAACCTGTCCAACGCTGTGGCTCCTGCGGGTATTGGTTCACCCTCGTATGGTTTCAAGTCATCGGGCAAGGGTTGGTCCCAACATGGTTCCTTTACCCAAAAAATATACCCTCTGGTTATTTAACATGGCCATGGAAAATGGCCCGTTTATAGTGAGTTTTCCCATTAAAAATTGTGATTGTCCATGGCTATGTTAAATAACCAGAGGGTACTTCAACAAATTGTTTGGCTCATCTGCAATGGATTTATCACATCTAATCATCAAAGCCCGTTTCCTTTCTTCACAGCTGCAGGTCTCCCAGCAGTTTTTGCAGCTTTCTTTCTAGCTCTCTTCACATGTACCTGCGCCGCTGTGCGCCCATCATAGTTCTGCCGCGCTTGGGGGTCTGACAAGGTCTCAAGGGCTTGGTAGACTAAGTGAAAGGCCTCCTCCAGGAGCTGAAATTTGGGAGATTCATAGGGTTACCATCAACAAGAGGGATGGTAAATGGGATGAACTAGGTTTTAATGTATGGGATATATCTGGCAGAATTATACCAATTCCCTAAGCTGAAAATAGCTATTTCCTTGAAGAAAGGCTGAAAATTGCTGAGAGGCAGATAAGGTATGATAAGGTCACGTGCTGATGACTGTGTCAACTTTGTAAGGCATGGTTCTTTTGTTACAATGATTCAATGAACGTCAAGTGATCCAAGACTGGGGGAAAACGCGAAAAATTCTTCATCCCAGGAATCATAAGTGGGTTACGCTCACCCCGTTTACAATTGGACATGGGTTCGTCTGAAATGAAGGATACCTTCTAATAGGTTTTTTGCAGGGGAAAATGATGATAAACCAGAGGAGTTTTTGGGTGCCCTATTCTCAGACAAATCCACATTTCCCTGACCTAGGCTGCTTATAGCTGTGGGTATAACCCATTTACGATTCCTTGGATGACTCAATCTCGCCTAATCTGTAGAATGCGTGCTGCTTATCTCAATCTTGCTTAATATATCAATATTATTCAATATTTACTCCTTCAAGGCTCTGGTTGAAACTTTCTCCAAAGGTCAAGCTTTGCAAAGCGTATAGCAAGGCGACCCTTTGCAAGCTCGCATTGAAAAAACGTTCAACCGTGAAGTTTCTTAGACTGTGGGGCAGAGTGACTTCTTTTACGTTCCCAAATCTCCGAAGGTCAAGCGAGCTGCAAAGTGTCTGGAAAGTTGGCTCCTTCCAGGCTCCAATTCAAGGTAAAGCTTTGCAGATTGCTTGGCAAGTTGAATCTTACCCGCCTCGTCCAGCCTAAAGGCTTCCCCGTCAAGTTTTCAAGGCTCGGAGAGACGTGGGACACAGACTCAGGCTGTGTTAACTAGCCTTTTATTCGCGTCACCCCCCTGCAATGCACGCTCCTCAGCGAACTGCACCGTGGGTTGTACATATTGACACCAGCCAACCCGCGCACAGCCGCACAGCCAGGATGGGCTGGGTCAACCAGGTTGCAGGTACAGACTAGAAGCCAAGGCAAAATTGATCGAAGTGGGAGATTTTCAGAATTCACAATATGTTCTGTAACTAATATTATATAAATCATATGTAACTAATATTCACAATATGCCACACGATGGGGCTATACACCATTTTCAGACACACGCAGATGTACCTGCATCCTCCAAGAGCTATCAAATTTCAGCTCCTACCTCAAGAACAGTTCCTGAAGCATCAGGGTTGTCATTTCACCCCAGGGACTGTTTTTTTTTTGCAAGAATCTCATTAATGAAAGTCATACAAGGAAATTAGTTATTGATATACATTCATACATGCAATTATTCATACAAGGAAATGAGTTGTTCATATATGGATTTGTTCATACAAGGAAGTGACTTGTTCATGCAAGGACATGAGTTATTCATATACAAGGAAATGAGTTATTCATATACAAGGAAATGAGTTATTCATACAAGGAAATGAGTTATTCATATATGGAATTATTCATACAAGGAAATGAGTTATTCATATATCTATATCGTACTACATGTGTATGTATATATGTATGATAAATATTACATCATATACATACCATTCCGTGATTTGAACAATAGAGAGCCTGAAAAAGGCTCATCAGAAGTGGATTTGAAAGTACTCCCAATTTTTTTCGGGCCTATTTGACAGAGTCTATTCTAGTTGAAAGGAGGATAAGTTATACAGCAACTCCCAAGCAGGAAGGTTGGAAACCTTTGATGGCAATAAATTGCATCTATTCCTGGGATGGTTGGCTCAATCATGGCCCACTCGCTGTAGAATGTGTTTCAGTACACAGTTGGCATTGAGATATTAAGCGACAGTTATATGGCTAATCTTGCGGTGATCTTAGATCCGAATTCTTGAAAGAAAAAAAGTTATTTCAAGATAGGTAGTATATATTATCCCCCTCAATATCGAAACAAACTGTTAAGTTGTCAAACCAACGCTTTCCAGGGTGTGGTGTTCGCCCCCAATGAGCCGGAAACTAGAAGAATAGGATGGTTGTGTTGAAGAGGGTGAAATGGCTCGAAATCACACTTAGGCCAAAGATTTTGGGTGTTCAAACTTGGGATGGAATTGATTTAGTCACTATCCACTCACACTTGGGGAAAGCCCCAAATTGAACCATCCAAAATTCCTACAGCCACACATCATCTTGGCCCCTCCTTGCTGCCACCTTTATCAGGATGGACTTCCAAAGCGCGCTTCTTGAAGGCTATCTTGATCTGTTCAAAAGTTGCATCTGAATCCACTTGCAGCACGTCGTACAATGACTGCAACGACTGTGAGACCATGGAACTAAACTCAAATGCGAAGACCAGAGAAAAAGACATGGGATTTGGTTTTCGGGCATTCTAATGTGATCATCGCATCATCCGTTACTGGGTCGCCCCAAAATACCCAGTTGAAAAAAACCTCCGGAGTGTTGTGTTGGATGGGAGAATTTCACCAGAGATCGTGCCATCGTGTTGCTGTTAGAGGGCCAGATTCTGAAAGGAACATAAAACAACAACCAGTCCGTTGATGTGGGATGTTATTTTGGGATCAGTTTTGAATGATCAACGTTTCAGCCACGTCCTGAAAACTGATCAACCCATCAACCACGCTTCGATCCCAAATCGCTGCAGAAGCTATGGCTCAAAGCATGAAGATCTACTCCCAAAAGGGTGGGATCCCAAGGGATACCCCCTGGTAAACGTTAACAAAAAACGATGGAAAATCACCATGTTTAATGGGTAAGTCAACTATTTCAATAGCCATTTTCAATAGCAAACTGTTGACATAACCAGAGGGTACATCTGATGATCCATGTGGATCCATTGACCTATGATCGCGCCGACTCGGTGAGATCTGCGCCATCCAAAACAAATCTGAAGGGGAAGGGTTTTTGCTTAGAAATTTCTCACAGGCAGAACCTCTGTCCTGGTAGACTTTTTTTGTGAATGGAAACTTCAAAAAAATCAAATACAATTCATTATGAACCCCGCATTATTGTATAACAACCCATACATTACACAAACGCATTATATCATTATGAGGATGTGTTTATATACATGTGAAAAAAATGTATTGTATATCATATCAGTAATTGATACCCTCTGGTAAACTAACATAACTATGGAAAATCACCATCTTTAATAGGTAAATCAACTATCAATGGCCATTTTCACTAGCTATGTTAGTTTACTGGAGGGTAGTATCCCGTTCTATCCTAATTATAAAGCCATTACATTATATAGCCATTACTAGGGTGCAACAGAGATACTGTGGATGGAAGAAATCCCGCACCACCTGGGATGGTTGAAACCCTATAAATAGTGAAAATTTTACCACCTATTAACTGGTGCAGGATTTCGCAACCATCCACCGTATATCCTATGATAGAATCTTAATATCCCAATACAGAGACATAGTTACTATTGAAATCATATGAATAGTATTAATAGTATTATTCATATCCTATGTTAAGTATCAATCCGCCTATATTAGTGGAATATCTATGGAAAATGGCCCATGTATAGATGATTGATGATGGTTTACCCACTAAAAATTGTCTTTTCCCATAGCAAGCCGTTAAATAACTAGAGGGTATATCCTATTAATATCCGTATATGTGATACGGCCCTGTGCAGCGCCTCAAGAGCGACAGTTGGTAGCTGGGCACTCGTCGCTGTGCCAGGTGCGCCGTCAGAAAGGCGCCATGCGGCGACAGCACGGTGAGGTACAGCAGAGAGTAGGACAAGCCCAGGAACCTAGGCTTACCCCCCTGGTTAGGAACAACATATACAGTATATATATATCAATATCAACCTTATAGGATATCATTCACCAATGTAACCATAGTTATATAACATATATACTTAGTAAGATATGTTTCTCACACATCACGAAATCGGAGATACTCAGAGAAAAATAATTAAGAATTAGTGTCTACAAGGTGGTGCCCAAGTTCGTGAACGCTAAGTTGGTGCAAATAAGTCCAATTTCACTATGGTTTATAGGTGTCGAAGTAGTTAATGGGATTGTAACCCATTTATAACTGGGGGGGCACCACCTTGTGGTAATTTAAGATGTGTTTCTTACACATCACGAAATTGGAGATTTTTGGTGATATAACTCTTACTTTCTGGTAATTTAACAGTTTGCTATTGAAAATGGCCCATAAAAATAGTTGATTTACCCACTAAAAATGGTGATTTTCCATAGCTATGTTGGTTTATCAGAGGGTTAGTAAGGGCTGCGGACGAAAATGGCTTATACCCCAGTTAGATTCATGGAATATATTTCCACTTATGGATTATAAATATGGGCGATATTCCATTACTATTAATATGTACTAAGTTTATGTCACTTGGTTTCCATGGTTTATAATCCATCTATATCCCATATTAAGTGGGGATCTTCCATGGATTATCAGTAGGTGGGTGCCAGGGGTGAAGAAGTCCCCTGTGGGAATCAGTTATTACTTTCATGACTATAGTTACTATATATATATATATATATGTCGTTACCAACCAGTTATAAGTATATATTATGTATATATATATATATAACTATATATGTAACTATAGTTAGTTGGTGAATGATATCCCATATATACATATATAAGTGGGTTAATATGTGATTATTAATCAGTTACTATTAATCAGTTACGATCCCTGGGATGATCCTGTTTTCAGCAGGGTCTCTACAGTTGAATCCCTGTTAGACAGATTCCATGAATTTCATGCGGAGTTCCCATAAATGTTCTCCTAAAAAAAGGGAAAATGGTGATTTAATGAGGGTTTATGGTGGTTTAATGGAATTTAATGGGATTTACCCTCTGGTAAACGTTTACATAACGAACTGGAAAATCACCATGCTATTAATAGGTAAATCAACTATTTTGATTAGGGCCCTTTTCAATAGCAAACTGTAACAAATTACCAGAGGGTATCATCTGTTTTCCCTTCCAAACTTGCCTTTTTATGATCTTTCTTATTGTTACCCTTTGGTAATTTAACATAGCTATGGAAAATCACCATGATTCATGGGAAAATCCATTATAAATGGAGGTTTTAATGGGAAAATCATCTATAAATGGGCCATTTTCCATGGCTATTTTGACATAACCAGATGGTATACGCGGCAAAAACACACCGTTTCAAGCAACTGGATGCCACTAGGATGGTGGAACCAGGTAGACCACGCTCCGCCCTGAACGAAACATGGCGGGCTGACCAACGAAACATGGGATGGGAAAAAGAAAAAAAAGGGGGGAAAATGAGGGGAATCACATCATATATATAACATAACTGTTTCGAAAAGTCTAGCAGTAGATGTTTTTTTTCATTGACGAAAAAATCGTGCTGGTCTTTGAAATCTGGGGATGGGTCAAAACCCTGGTACCCCTGGTGAACCCCAAGTCATAGCTGGGATTTATGGATGTTCATCCCACTAAAAATGTATCTATAGGTATTGACCCATACCCAAATGAGGGGGAAAAAAACAACCAGCCAATTTTGCGACTTCACACAAAAAAAATCCGGGATTGAAAGGATCTGACCCAAAAATAAACTCAGAAAATGGGTGGGAATCTGGAAAATGTGAAGAGACTTCACCAAGCAAACGTGAGGAATTTGGCTGAGTTTGCAGATATGTTGGTTATGTTTATTTCCAGTTGCAATATCCATATTGGGTATGAGCCAAAGTTGGGTACCTCAAAATTTCGACCATACTCACAAACAGTGAAAAACTGGTGGTGCCCATAGTGTGAAACAGTTAGGCCCATTCCGTCGGCCCATATGAGCCATGGTCAATACTCACTATATGGTTGATGGTCATCCCATCCATAATAAGGATCCTTATATAATGGTTATTATAAATCCCTATGAACCATTGGATGACTAGCCCCTATTAATGGTTATTAACCATGAGTATTGACCATAGCTCATATAAAAGATGATCATTGGTAGTGTAGCTATAATTCATTGTTTGTTGATGTTTGTTGCTTAAATCACACTGCTGAGCTCCCTGCAAAAAATGCTGCTAGCTTCCTCCTTTGCACACTTGCCCAGTTTGGGTTGATTCAATCATTCCTCTCCGTCAGATTCTTGGTGAATCTGACCAAAGCTGCGAGATCCATCAGCTTTCAGTTGTCTCTATCCACCATTTTTGCTACTTGAATCCAGTTTGCTGCTTATGTTCCCATTGTTGTTGGATGTGACACCATTTTTTCTAGAGAAACTGTGATCATTCGCCAACCTGAAGTAAGGACATTTTGGGATACATAATCACCCCTAATAGCCATCATTCACGTCGCAGCGTCGCACTGAGGTCGTTATCATTTATCCAATTTTTGCAGTTTACATCCACCATGTTTCTCAGGTGAATCGATTTTCTCCTGGCAAAAATTCAAGCGCCCTGGAATTTTTATCAGTTCTCTACAGCATTTTTCTTGGTCAACACATCCTTTTTCACTGGAAAACGGTGCGCCACCGATTTTTTTCCCCGCCTTAGGCGCCAAAGGATTCGCCTTTCGTTGCACCTCGAGGAAAGCTGAGTTGACTTCTGACTTGGTTCACTCGGGTTTACGGGGAATATAAGTATAGTTGATGGGGTTTATAAACCAACTTAAAAATGCACAAAAGCATCGGTATTTTTATGTTTAATTGTTGTAAAAAATGTGAGTTAATTGAGATTCTTGTTTTGTTGTGAATTGTTGTTATTGATACTTGGTCTCTGTTGTTTATCATGGATCTATTTTATATTCATGTTGTACCCATAAAGTTTTCTGTCAAGTTTCACAATACCTCTAGAAGTGTCCAGAATGTATGGAACCCAATAATTTGAACCTCCAATACCATCGTTGGAGTGTGACAAATACCCAACTGCTTGTAGTAATTTTATAATCATATCTTTCCCAAATATAACTATGCTATGTGTTTTATAGCACTTTGTTGATGATCCCAGCATACAAAGGATAGTATAACCTACAAAAACATCAATTAAATGCAGGGTTTTCAAACCTGCCCATGTAAGGTACCTGTTCCTTGTTCAATGGGGTCACCCCTCTATTCATGAACCAATGAAATAGGGACGTCTGTGGGTCCTCAATTGGAATTTGTTTATAAGCAAATCTAAGTGTATGTATATATATATCCCCACCATAACCCCAGTTAGAAAACTAACAAACGAAGTTACCATATCTATAGTTGCTCTGTTGCATTTGTATTCCATTTTTATCCCATTATACATATATATATATATATCCCCATCACATACTCATTACAGTATATAGATGTTTTCCTGAATGAGTAGATGTTCTTATCTATCTATATATGTATATATATATAATTGCATTATGTTATATTTTAGATATAAACATCAAAAATAACAGTTCGATGTATCATTACAGATCCCTTATACAAGGTGGGGTCCCCTAGACAGATTGGGCTCATGGGGCAACTGGCTGCACTACAGTAACTATGCTGAAGAAAAGGCACGATTCGTGGGATGATCCTCCAAGTAGGGTATTATGCGAACACATTATTGTTCTAAATAATCTAAGTAGTTGTTTTTTTGATGATTATGATATATTATGACATATTAATGTTGGTGAAGCAATAATCTACCAATAATGGAAAGTCATTCGGGATGGTGGAGCAATAGGCACCTCTGCCGCCTTCAATGGCTGCAGCTGCTCCGCGCGGGCTGCATAGATCCGCCGCAGCAGCAACAGCTGCGGCGGGAAGGAGAGGACGTTCAGGAACCTCAAGGTGGAAAAATCTGGAATCCCATCACCCGTTCATATTTTCAACACCCCGGTCCCAATGGAATGTGGAAATTCGCTACCAAACTAGGTACACGGCTCACAGGCGGCCGTGAGGAATTCAGCACACCAGCAATGCTGAGCATTTGTTTTTCTGCTGATTTACAGTGGTCAGAGCATTCCAGTCCATTTTGGATCTTTCACGCAGCCGTGCCTTTGGTTAAAGCGGCTTCATCTTGTAATTAGATGGGGAAAAATATGTTTTTTAGTCATTTTGCAATGCAGTCAAACTATTTGTTTCAGTGGATGAAGCCGTCATTGAAAGTCATGATATTTCTTCAGCAGATCGACAAGGCATGACATCAATTCTTTGGGAGAACACGGCAAAATTGTTTGACGCCACATCCATTGCTGGATCATTGAATGCACACCTTGACTCATTTTGTGATGGCCGTTTCTCTTTTAAGCGTAGCAGCAAGTCCAAGAGAATATCTTGTAAGGCGGGCAGCCAAGAACGTTATCAGCCCCCCCCAAAACCCCCCCCAAGAAACAACAATGCAAAAATCAAGAGTGTCTTGCAAGTGACAAGAAGAACTTGATAGCGTGTGCCAGGGTACGGTGCAAGAGAAGAGTGGATAGCATAGCAGCAAGTCCAAGAGAATATCTTGTAAGGCGGGCAGCCAAGAACGTTATCAGCCCCCCCCAAAACCCCCCCCCCAAAAAAAAAACAAGAAACAACAATGCAAAAATCAAGAGTGTCTTGCAAGTTACAAGAAGAACTTGATAGCGTGTGCCAGGGTACGGTGCAAGAGAAGAGTGGATAGCGTAGCAGCAAGTCCAAGAGAATATCTTGTAAGGCGGGCAGCCAAGAACGTTATCAGCCCCCCCCAAAACCCCCCCAAGAAACAACAATGCAAAAATCAAGAGCGTCTTGCAAGTTACAAGAAGAAGTTGATAGCGTGTGCCAGGGTACGGTGCAAGAGAAGAGTGGATAGCGTAGCAGCAAGTCCAAGAGAATATCTTGTAAGGCGGGCAGCCAAGAACGTTATCAGCCCCCCCCAAAACCCCCCCCAAGAAACAACAATGCAAAAATCAAGAGTGTCTTGCAAGTTACAAGAAGAAGTTGATAGCGTGTGCCAGGGTACGGTGCAAGAGAAGAGTGGATAGCGTAGCAGCAAGTCCAAGAGAATATCTTGTAAGGCGGGCAGCCAAGAACGTTATCAGCCCCCCCCAAAACCCCCCCCAAAAAAAAAACAAGAAACAACAATGCAAAAATCAAGAGTGTCTTGCAAGTTACAAGAAGAAGTTGATAGCGTGTGCCAGGGTACGGTGCAAGAGAAGAGTGGATAGCGTAGCAGCAAGTCCAAGAGAATATCTTGTAAGGCGGGCAGCCAAGAACGTTATCAGCCCCCCCAAAACCCCCCCAAATCCCCCCCCAAGAAACAACAATGCAAAAATCAAGAGTGTCTTGCAAGTTACAAGAAGAAGTTGATAGCGTGTGCCAGGGTACGGTGCAAGAGAAGAGTGGATAGCGTAGCAGCAAGTCCAAGAGAATATCTTGTAAGGCGGGCAGCCAAGAACGTTATCAGCCCCCCCCAAAACCACCCAAAACCCCCCAAAACCCCTCAAAACCCACGGCCGTCTATAAGCCGTGGTCCAACTACCATGGTTTCGTTTAGGGGGTGTTTAATATTAGGGAAAATATGGAATAAATAGGAAATGTGTGGAAACATGGTGGCCACGAGAAGAAAGAAAGTTTCGGGAAATGGAAATGGTGGGATTTTTGGCAGTAACCTGCCCTGTAGCAGGGAAACAATTGATAGATATGGTATGATATGGTGAGAAAGAAAATGTCAGGAAATCTCCCAATGCGGATAAATCCATCGTTGTTGCCATCCAATAATTTTATGTTCTCCTCAATAGCTTATTCTAATGATGTTTAAACTTGAAAAAAAAAGGAAAACAAATGGAAAATCAAAAAGCAAAGCTTCAAAACTGAAAAAAACCGGAAGCAAAACAAATGGGAAAAAAACGGAACGTCAAAAAGGGGAAAAAATGTGAAAAAATGGACTTGTCCATTTTTTCCCCCATGTTTTCCCTTTTTGACTTTCCTTTTTTTCGCTGTTTTTTCGCTTTTATTTTGCTTTTGTGTTTTTTTGGATTTTGCTGATTTGCTTTTTGGTTTTTCCTTTTTTGTTGCATTTGTCTCTGTTTTTTCAAGTTTGTTGATTCTTAGAATAAGCTATGGTCTGGTGAACATAACAATAATTGGCCTCAAAGCATGCCGGTAACTTCCCATTTGCAGACGTGAGATTCTGTTGATCACTGAGTTGAAAAAGACCCTGTATCACCATCAAAAACATTCTCAAAAAGCCTCCCACCTCAACCAGAGAGTTCCCTATCATATTGGAATTTCATGGAATTTCTATGTATATCTTAGTTCCCTATGTTCCCTATCACCTATCATTTATGTTCAATAAATCCCTATCATATGGCAGTGTGTCAAAACCAATAGTACCCCTGTAGTTCACATCAAAATAGCTGGGATTTATGGATGTTCATCCCCCTAAAAATTGTATTTTTATAGGTATTGATCCATAATAACTATGGATAATCACCATTTTTAATGGGTAAATCCCTATCATATTGGAATTCCCCCCAAAATTTCCATAAATTTCCAACATCTCACGTTCTTCACATGTAGAATTCCCATCTCTAGGTGCCCCGACCCCACGGCCAGGAAGCCGACCACTTCGCTGGGCAGAAGACCCAGGGAAGGCGTGATCAACAGCCTGGCGCCAGACTGGGGATTCTTCCCCAGACAGCCATAGATTAGCCCCGAAATCATAGGAAAACCATAGGAAAACCATAGGAAAACCATGGTTAATGATGGTTAATGATGGTGATTAATGGTGATTAATGGTGATTAATGATGATTTCACTTACCCTCTAGTAATTTATAGTGATATAATGGGATCTTGTAGTGATTCAATGGGATATTAATGTGATATACCCTCTGGTAAACGTTTACATAGCTATGGAAAATCACCATTTCTCATGGGTAAATCAACTATTTTTATGGGCCATGTTCAATAGCTATGTAACAAATTACCAGAGGGTAGATTAGCCCCAATCAGCTGGCTTCGAAAAATTTTAGATTTCGATTTTTTGGAAATCTCTCTTTCTTTGACTGCCATTGCCCCCAAATCAATAAAGCGATCAGCTTTTCCACCACTGTGAGCGTGTGCTTTCTCTTAAAAAAACAACCGCTCCCAGTGCTACACAGCAACAACATTTGAGAAAGGATATGGGAAGGTGAAGTGTGTTCATGTACATTAATATATAGTCATCCTACTCAAAGAATGGCACTCATCTCCAACCCTGGATGTTCAGTTATTACAAGTAACTCATATTCAATTACTGTCATGTTCAACTCATCAATTTTCTCCCCCGCCCCTTCATGGTCTCATTGTCCACAATGACTTCCTAACCTCAGAATTGGCAATGCAGCAAAACGCGGGTGTCAAAAATGCGCGGTCTTCCTTCCAGTTTGAAGTTCACCACAATACAACTGGAACTGAATGATGAATCTTGAGAGACCTTCAGGTTGGCTTCTTACAACTCTGATGAGAACTACTAGTGCAAATCGTTTCTTTCATGGTTTCTGACTGCGACGCAAAGAAAGCAGAACTGCGTATTGCAGGACCACCTGGATCTCATTTAGTTTAAATTGCACAGGGTCAAGAACACATAGGACTCATTCAACCACGAGGGCAGTTGAAGCGCTCTGTTTTGTCTCTACAAAAACTTTCTCTGAGACGTCGCTAGATGCCCAAACATGGTCATTTTGCATGCCCTGTACCTCCACAACTGGGACAATTTTCGGTCACCGGTTGTCCAGTCCAAGGACAAGTACCGACAGTGGCACCTGTGCCTCCGCAAGTGGGGCAAAGGCCACCAGGTGGAGGTGCAGGAGAGGCTGATACTAGAGGTGTGCTAGGAAAGCTGATGCCCCCACTAAAAGTCGTCGAGATGGTTTTCGTCACCGCAGAATCATCCGCGCCATAGGTGGTGAGCATGTTTATCAGAGGGACTTCAACGATCTCATCTTCAACTTTCTTGTAGGCTTTTTCTGTGGGTGTGAGGATCATTCTCACCCCCTGGGCCTCTATCACGTGAACAGCTTTCTGAACACCTTGAATTTTGGTGGGCTTGGCTGCCTCGTCCAAACGAGTACGCAGGGAATCTGCCCACTGCTTCTGCACAATTTGCATGGTGTCATACTGAAGCTGGCCTCCATGCGTGTGAATGAAAGAGGCCAAAGCTTGCCCGAGAGCTGCTCGATAGAGTTGAGAGTACGGATGCGAAGCATCGCCTTTTATGAGATGCGGCATAGTATCCGTCGCATAGTGACGTGCCCATGCTTGGAGTGTCCTGAAGGTTTCTTCAGGATGGATCTTGACAACCCATGACACGTTGTGGACGTGCATGGCCGACCACTCTTCATCCTCCTTGTGTGAGATGTCCACTCCACCCGGCTCAATCCACACCCTGAGACAAGTGGGGATTTCTGCGGCAGGATCTGCTGCATAAACGTCAAGATCGTGAAGGGTTTTTACAAAGAGAGTCTCTTTTGTGAAGGACTTCAAAAAAAAGGTCCGCGTTGAGCATGGCCAATCCAGACTGTGTCTGACCAAGTGAGCTTGGTATCCATACTGGCACATGTGTCGAATGCGCATGGCAATCGCTCGGCTGCACTGGGATTCGATTTTTTGAACCCAGCGGAGAAACTGCACTTCGGTACCCTCTGGGGAATCTGTAGTCAGTGGCTCCACACTCCCATCTTGCCGGTTCACAACCGTGCTCCGTAAATTGTAGCCCCAAGTGTGCAACTTGCACAACAAATGAGGAGCAAAACGAGGCTCTGGCGAAAATCAAAGCGATTTGCCATGATTGGTTTTCTCTCAAGTAGTCAAAGCTACCTGTCTTGAGCCACTTCCATGGGAACACAGAAGCTCCCATCAGCCTCCTACTTCTGAACTTGGGCCGTACCTGTCAAGAAGCTCAACCTGGTTGAACTTGAATTTGTAGACCGTGGCTTCATATGAACTGTTTCGAGAAGTCATGGAACTCTCTCTATGTACCTATATTCAGGCGTACCAAAAAAATCGCCTAATCCGCATGTCCCAGAGCACCTCTGCACTCTCAGTGGAACCTCCAAACATGAAGCACGAGCATCTCTCTGAGTTTCCGGACAAGTGATTTTTCGGATGAGGAGGTAGAAGACAAAGCAAGAGCAGGCCCCGTAGAGTCCCAGGGTAAAATGACATTTAGTGACAATCTGCTGGGATATGCTGGGATATGGTAGGATATGGTTGGTTGCGGTTATGAAATAGTCCCTATAGCGAAAATGAAGAAGCGAAGCTAGCATCAAGGCTATCGCACCAGCTTTTTTTGGGGTGAAACCAGGGTATCATAGTTTGGACCCCTGTCAAATGTATGCAGAAGCAACATATGATCCAACAAAAATTCTGGGGACCCTGGCAAACCGCAGATGGACTGATCATGTTCATTGTTTGTTCATCCAAAAATTATCGGGGTACCCAAGTTTGACCAAACTTGGAAGCTTGGCGACCTGTTTCTTGAAGGAGTTCCACTTGGCGCAATGCATCCACATTCTTTGCCGGAAGAAATGTGCGCCCGGGTGCAAGACCATGCTATATTAAATCTTTTGGTGGAATATCTCGAAATCAAAATTCATTTCTGTTCCAGACAAATAAGAAATCACCATTTTTAATAGGTAAACCATCTATTTCTATGGGCCCTTTTCCGCTATGTTAAACAACCAGAGGGTCTCATCCCCATGGACGAGCTCCGCAAAGCTCCGCCGAGCAGCCCAGCAATAAAGGGCCCAAGCATCTCGCTGAACAAGTCAATCTGAGACATCAAGGAATTCGTCCCTCGGTCTTGCATGGTCTCGGAGCAAATCTCGGCATCTCCACGGATCAGTCTACTACTAAGCGGATCACTACAAGGTGGTGCCCCCCCAGTTATAAATAGGTTATGATCCCCATGAACTATAGATATATCACCTATAAACCATAGTTTTTGGACTTATAAACCAACTTAGCTAACCACCCTGTAGAATTTATAAACCCGAAACAAGCTCATTTTTGAGTGGCCCTGTGGGCCGGATTCAGAATCCATCTATCAACCAAGCAACCCAATGATGTCATGCTCCCATGTAAGAAAAACCCTCGGATACTCAAATGTGGCTGGATGGGAAATCCCCGATCAATAGACCAGCACAAATGGGAAAGTCAGCTTTGCATCAGGCCATGTTTGCTGACACTGCATCCTCGAGTCCAACAGGAAGTCAAAGAACTAATCCGCACAAAGTGCGAAGTGTCACAATAAGATACTTAATAAGTCAGTTTTTCATCAGTTCTATAAGTTCTATACCTAATATGACAAGTTAAAAAGTTGTGGGAAAATCCCCCATGTATTTGTTGTTTTCAATAATGAGTGGGGGAGTTCACCATGAGTGGAGTCAAAGGGTCAAAACTCAAGGAATCCCCTGTATTTCAGATGAAAATAGCGGGGATTTGTGGATCATATTGTTTAATCCATCCCCATATCTGCTCACCAAGAATCGTTTTTTTGTTTTTTAAATCGATGTCTTCAAAAATGATGGATACCCCAAGGGAAAAATGATAATCCATTGGAATTCAGGGGAATCCCATTTTTAGACATTTGGATACCTGTGACATCCCGTTTTACTCAAACTCATCCGAACAATGGCTTATCTTTTCCCGCAGCAATAGTCAGGTATAGACATCGACCCAAGGCTGGGCCACTGTGAAATATTCAGAAAATCAATACAGGATGGTGCCCCCCAGTTATAAGTGGGTTTATAAACCCCATGAACTATAGTTATATCTGCCATAAACCATAGTTATGAGACTTATAAACCAACTTAGCTAACTATGGGGCACCACCTTGTAGTAACCAGCTGGAATTTGTTAAATTTCCACTTGCATGCCCATTTTTTTGAAAATCGCGTGGATTTGAACAAAATCCAATTTTGAAAACATGGCACATCATCTCCAGAATGTTCGTCATATAAAAAAAAAAAATCCCTTGTCTGCCAAGTATGGTTGGCTTAAAAACGCCCATGTTTCTCAAACTCAAAAAGCGTTTCCCTGGATATAGTTCGATGATGTGTTACCCATATTTTCCAAGTTTCCAACTTTTCAACCACTGCTTCGTGGTTGCTATAGGGTCATTCACCACCCAGATTAATTGGAGGTTTCTTAAAATGGATCTCCAAAACCATAGCTTTCAATACTAAAATGTGATGATTTGTGGGTACCATGGATTGGAAACCTCCAATCCATACATTCCAAGGCATTCCAGCCACCATCACCATCCTCCCTCGGTCGCCCGACGCTTCAAGCGTTCACCCTGGAAAAGTCGTGGTGCCCACTCCCGCTTCACGGCTACGTCACTGAGGGCAGTACCCAGCTTCTCCTTGGATCTGAGGACTTTGATAGGATTTTGATAGAAAAACTCCCCAAGAAACATCGATTTTAAGGCCGTTTTTTGATGGCCTTGTAGTGAGGTTTTTCCCAGGATTTCATGGCCTTTTCATGGCCACAAATGGTGTTCGATGCTGGTGACGGACTGACGTTGCCCTTTTTATGCCATGGCCCCATGGTCAGCTGAGGCTCCAAGATGCTGAAGGAGGTGAACGCCGCAAGTGCCAACCAGCTGGACTCGTCACTTTCTGCCTTTGAGGCGAGCGGGCTCTGGTAGGCGCCCAGGCGCCAGGAACTTCCAGTCTTTGAAAAAACCATAAATTTACTCTGGTAATTTACAGTAACAGTTTGCGAAATGGAAAATGGCCCAGTCGAAATAGTTGATTTACCCATAATAAATGGTGTTTTTCCATAGCTATGTCGTTAGATTAGCAGAGGTTATGTTCTAAGCCTATGTCGCGTGTTTTTCTGTGTGTAAAAATATCTTCATATCCCGAGATGTATATAAATACTTCCAGAATCTTTCTTGGTCAATCTCCAATCAACTATCTTGCATCATTTCTGGCTCAGTCTTTTCCAATTTCAACAAGAGGAATCCCCACCTTGCTGCGTTTTCGCAGCTAGCCATCTGTTGCTGAGTTTCTTGGGTGAAAATCCTAGGATCGCCTCGGTCTGTTGGCAAATCTGACACTTTCTCCATCACATTGGGTAGGCTTTGATCTCCAGAAAACTTGTCAGGTCAAGTGATATTTCTAGGTCCTAGCTGGTGAGGCTGGTGAGTATCTATCCCCATCTCTTAGAATCCATGTATCGAAAGCTCAAAAGCTATTAGACATATAGTTTCGTATAGTGTCCTTATATGTAGTTTTCATGTATTGCTCTTATATGTGTCATGTGGCTTTCATGAAATTCTCATGAATTTTCTTATGTTTTCCATGTGTATGTGTATATATATATACATATATATATATATACATATATATATACATATATATATATATATACATATATATGTACATATTCCCATGTCTTGATATAGATTTGTCCCTCCACTTCCACAAGCCATGGAACCCATGGCCACCATGGCCCCAACGGTTTTTCGGCCTGCAGGGCAAGGGCCAGCACCAGCGTGGAGCCCATCACCGCAACAGCCTCCCCCGGTGCAGGCTAGGCTAGGTGAAACCATCATGGCCAATCAACATGGGTTTACCCGGCCTGGAAAACCATAGGAAAACCATAGGAAAATGGTGGTTTAATGGGATTTAATGGGATTTAATGGGATATACCCGGCCTGGCTATGTCAAAATAGCTATTGAACATGACCATAGAAATAGTGGATTTACCCATTGAAAATGGTGATTTTCCAGTTCGTTATGTGAACGTTTACCAGAGGGTATGATGGCTTTATGATGGCATAATATTGATGGGTTTTATAGGGGATTATGATCGGATAATAAAAAAATGGGAAACTCTGATGGAATATTGTTCTCGGAAAATTATGGGATCTTCATGGTCATCTGGTTGGTGGTTGAGCCCTACCCCTCTGAAAAATGATGGAGTGAAAGTCAGTTGGGATGATTGTTCCATTCCCAAGATGATGGGAAAATATATGTGACATTATGGTAATTGACTGGTAATTAATGGTAATTGACTGGCAATTAACCCTAATACGGCAATACTGGTAACTGACTGGTAATTACGCTTCAATATCTTCCAACCATTGTTATCAAGCCATGAACTCAGCACTTCCCCCGTTCATTGTTAAAGCATTACATACGTACAAAGTTCCCTCAAACTCTGAATCAGATGCTGGCAGCAAATGTTCCTTGAAACCCAATTCCAGGATATTTGGATGAGAATCCCGGCTATCATATTATGTACCCTCTGGTAAACTAACATAGCTATTGAAAATGGCCATAGAAATCGTGGATTTTCCCATTGAAAATGGTGATTTTCCATAGCTATGTTAAATTACCAGAGGGTAAATTCAGTTGGATTTCTACATGTTCGGACACCAGTCCCAAGTTCCATTTCTGACTGGAGCAACTATGAAAGATTCAGCCATTCAAATCCAGAGAATGGAATCGGCCCCCATTACCATGGTCGGACAAAGCATTTCAACAAATGTGGCAGCATACTACAAGGTGGTGCCCCATAGTTAGCTAAGTTGGTTTATAAGTCCCATTTCACTATGGTTTATGGCAGATATAACTATAGTTTTCATGGGGTTTATAAACCCACAAACATCACTGGGGGGCACCATCCTGTAGAGCCAGTTGTTTGATTATTACGGCTTCCCCATTTCTATCTTTGGAACACCTGGAGAAGTCCCCAGAATCCACATGCGCGGAAGGAGAATCCCACTGGATAACCTACGCTGACTCCAGCATCTGAAGGGATGAAAACTTTTGCATTCAAGAATGGATACAAAAAGGGATACCCGGATACCCCAAAGTTCCCTTGCTTCTGCTTAGATAGCCCTGGTCGTTTCATCGAATTACATGGGACATGGCTTCCATAGCTTCCATTCAATTTTCCCCATGATATACCCGGACAATGTCCCAATGTTTGTTGGTTAAACCTCCATGTTCCCACCCAGCCATGGTTTCCATAGCGAACCTTAAACTTTACTGGTGAAACCGCCATTTTCTCGGTGAAACTTCCATTTTTCCATGAAGAATCCCATACGATTCCCATCAAATTGATGTTTCCGTATACATAAGGCTATTCAATACTTAAAAAAATGATGTTGATAATCCCAAATCATTCAATAATATTCAATATACATTCCCACTATTCCCACTTTCTATTTCTATTTTATTCCCACACCCCCACCCCTCAACTAGTAATCCCCACTTCGCTAGTCCCAATTCCTGATTTCAAAACGTATCAACTCCTGGCTATAACTTGAATGGCTCCCACGTCCCCACCCCGCATATTCCCAGATTCTGTTAAAGCCCCAAAAAGGCCATATTTGATGGTGAAATTCCCATATCAACAAGGCCAGAACTCTCACCAACAGCCCTATCTGCTCCATCTTCTGGTGCTTTCTGTCGGTCCAACCCCGTATTTTCTGCATGGTTTGACAATTGTTACGAAGCAGTTTAATCCCATCACCCGTTCATATGAAACACCCCATGGTCCCAATGGAATGTGGAAATTTCCTACATCCACCATGATTTCGTTTAAGGGGTGTTTAATATTGACGTGGGGAAGGGTTTACCCAAGTTTTCATTAACTAGTTCGATATATCACCAACTTAACCATAGTGAAATTGGAGTTATTTGCACCAACTTAGCTATCATAAATCCCATTAAAACCAAGGTGTTTTCCTTCTTCGATCACCATTTTCCTCCGGTCAACGGGGTTTTTTTTTCCCCAAAAAAACATACGATTTCTTAGGGCCATCCAGTGGCCATCCAGGTGGTTTTCCCAGTTTTTCCCATCAGTTCCCACTCGCATTCCATGCCCCACCTGCGCCAGCACCCCCAGCGTCACCACTTTGCAGCGATCCGTTTGATCCGCCCAGGCGCCAAGGGATGGGTTCAGCACGGCCGTCGCCAGCATGGTGGAGAGGCCCCACACTGCTGGGCCTGGCGGTAAGGGAAGCTGAGAGTAGCATGGCTTTATATCTTACATATAATATATATATATATATAATGGATGTATAAAGTCAAAAAAAAAAAATATTTATGTGGATGTATAAAGTCTTCTTTACAATTTATTATATGTGGATATATCATATGTACATATGTATATATATATATAATGGAGGTTATGTAGATGTTCTATAGATGTTTGTTTTTAGAATTGATCGAAATAGTCATCAATGCTGATTTTGGTATGGATAAATTCTAGCCACAGGGGTTTAACCACAAAAAGTGTGGATATCATTGATATAATCCACAAACGAAGGTTGATCGATGGCTTTAATAATCCCTTTTCTCGGAACAAAGGGTCAAACAAGACTTGTTTTTCATCGCCGGGATACAAACCCCTATCAATGAGGCTATGGCGTGGTGCGAAAATCCCCTTTCGTCTTGGTATATCGATCCCAGCCCATCAGGGATGATTGTTTGAATATCACCCTGGCCATCTAGGTGAAATTCGAGCGCCATTGACCAAAAAATTCACTGCAACATCCGCAAAAAATTGGACATTGGCCCCCAACCCCTGGCTTTATTGCGGAGGCATCAGAGCTTTGAAGATCCCCTGGGTTGCCATCAGCATCAAGCCATCCCGCCACCCCGCACCTAGCAAGCGTCCAGGGGTAAAGCGAATCAACACCAAAGGGGCGATGAAGAGCCAGCCCTGTGTCGCTAACCTTCAAGGCTCCAAGGGAGCAGCGGAAGTCAAGCCCGATGACGCTGGAAAGTAACCCAGGTTGGTTACCTTGGTTAGTGATATCCCCAGGTAGATATGTCAGATATGTGATATCCCCACTTACAAAGGGGGACTTGCTGATAATTTATGATTTACTGCTTACTAAGTTGGATGCTCCTCCAAGTAGGGAATTGAAAAACCCCATTTGTGACTGAACTAATCCTGCTTGCCCCGAAGCTGAAGGCTACAACTTACTAGCTTGGGTGAACCACCAAATAGGATGCCATGCAAAAAAAAAAGGTTTGTTTTAGCGGGGTATGAAATGATTTGTTGATTTCTAATCAGAATTAAGTCGAGTTTCTCCTACCCAACCTTTTCCCAGCTGAGGCTTTGGGGTGGATGATGTTGGATAGTTTGCAAAGTCACTCACCTTTTGGCTTCATTTGGAGGGTCCGGATGGATTCCTCAAGAAGTGCTGCGATTTGACCAATGGAGAAATGGATGATAAAAAACACGGCTCCATAAAGGGGGGCCAAAAAAAAACAGGTTGTGATCATCCATTCACCAATTTCTTCTTCCAAAAAGAATGTCCACCAAAGTTTTGATCTGGATACGGATCAAAGTGCATAAGTCATAGATTTGTTTGTTTCGCACTGACATCTTGCCCCGGACCCATCTCACTCTACCCCAAGGAGTCCCTTTTTGGATGCATCCATAGATCCAGTCTTCCCAGTTGCAAATTGATTGTCCCGAATATTTTCCCTGTAACATTACCATAAAGTCTCCATTGCTGATAGCTTCCCAAATGGTGCATGTCCCCTCCAAAAATTTCGGGCACCTGGTGATGAAGTGGCTGCTCAACAGCTCCCAAAAGACCACGTCATCCGAGGAGTTGGGCGCGTTGGGCTCAGGTGCCAACAAAGGGGCACCAGATGCCATGGCTGATCGGCCCAGATTTGGGCGATGGTCACCGATGGTCGGAATCAAGAAAAATCAGTTGAGATGTGTGGTTAAGATATGTTCAATCATCAGACACTTTGTCAAGCATGCTTGATTGCTGGAAGCGCACCTTGGAAGCGGCCAGTCTCCAGCATGAAAGCGTCGCATGTTTCATGTCTCAAGACGAAGAGATGGTTGCACGGCAGCAAAAGACATGCCTTTTATGGTAGTGCTCCACTGAAATACTTCCGACATTCTCAAGATCATGAATATCATCACCATCTTACTCAACTATCGAATATCACCAACTGCATCAACCACATCAATCACCAGCTGACAAAAAGACTGCAGTGTCTCGCTTTCTCGGCAGGCTCTCACTCTGTACATCACTAGCACCTGCCTATGGCACTTGGCGCCGCGGCACGACACTGACACTTCAGCCAGCACCGATGGCCAAAGGGCGCATTCCAGCAGCTGCCGGCTGCAGGGCCACATGACTTGTCATGGCCCTTCCAAGTGCTAGCTGCTAGATATGTTTCGTTTCTGAATAATATAGATAAATATATATTATAATTATATACATGCATATATATATATATACGCTTATTATACATATGTAATATGTATATATACCTGGAAAGCCGTTTGAACAAAAATTTTTGTTCATTATGGGAAAATCTGGTCGAATACACCTTTTAATGATCAATGAACAATTTTACCCGTAATGACCAGATAATTTGGTCAATTCACGATATTGCTATTGGAGGTGCGCCCGATCCTTGCATCCAAGGCTCACAGTATGGATGTGAATGATGTGAAATAAAAAAGGGGAAGATGCATGTGACCATGCACCCCAAATCGAGAATGGAAGAAATATATGATGGGTGCCATAGAATATATTATGTGGCATAGACTATATATTATAGATTCCCAACAGGGTCTCTTGAAATATGTGCATAGAAACCATGCGTCCTGATTGGGATGATTGCATCGCTGCTGAGCACGTTGAGGCCCGCTCTGATTACGTGGGGGGGGGGCATCGAAAAACGAAATAAGTTTGATTTGATTTCTTGCCATGAATTCTATCTTGCAAGTACAGTTGGCTTTTGCTGGAAGCTTTTGGGCGTTCCCTTCAGAGCAAACCGGCTCAAAAAAAAAACGTTTTGCTGCCTTGCTATGGCGAACCTTTATGGTGTTGCTAAGCATTGGTGGATGGAGCCTTCCATCCAAGAGAGGGTGAAAGAGGGCGGCATTGGTGCCATTGTTGTAACCAACAATACCCAGCCCCTTGCATCCAAAGATGTACGTCATGCCTTGTGGAACAGAGAAGTCTTGATCCCAATCATGGAGAATATGCGATACCACCACCTGATCAAGACACCTGATATGGGGACGATTCAAGACCAAGTTTGGATTCTCCAGCTGCTGTCTACCAAGCAGGGATTTGATGCCCACAACCTTCCTCCAATCCCTGAAGAGTTGGAAGTGCCGGTTCATTTGTCGGTGATTAGCATTAAGAAGCTGGTGTCATATGTGCGAGCCAAGTACATTCGTCCTCACATGCCACGGGACAAGGGTTCCTTTCTTCATGCATGTTTCCATTTTTTTATGTGATTATCAATCATGCAGTTCAAATCAGATCATAATTTCCAGGTCTTTCCCGGAACCACAGTATGTATTTTCTTCCATTCCAATTTGCATATGATGGATGGAAGAAATCCTGCACCTGCACCGCTTCGTGCCCATGTATAGTGGTAACACTTATAACTATAACTGCAATGGGACTATATTGGATAAACCATCTATCATCCGGTGCAAGATTTCTTCCATCCACAATATGGTTCAGATCCCTTGGATCATATATGCCCCATAGCTACCCTGGAGGACGCAGACTTCAGAGAGCTCTTGACCCACTTTGGCGAGTTGGAGCCTTTTTTGCACCCGGCACATTGTCCATGGTTCATCGGGCCAGCACACTTTCAAATGGTAAAGGTGAAACCGGTGAAACCAATGAATTTGACTGCAGGCTGAGGTTGATATATAGATTTTATGGGAATCATTTCAATATATTTGGAACCCTACATTACATGCATGTATACAGTTGTTGCAATATGTTGGAGTGTTTGCTATCAATTCCCACCGGCCTTGGCCGCGCAACTCCGCCTCTCAGGAACTCTATTTAGACCTCCCCGCGGACAAGTCAGCTCCTGACGACAGCGAGGATGAGAAGGGCGAATCTAACGAGTGTGATCTACGTGATCGGGTTCGTCAGGTGCCAATTCCTTCACCTACTACAACCCCGGTTGTGCCAGCTCTGGCTGAATCTGTGGGTGGGAACTCGGGTTTGCTTGAGAATGATATGTGGGTTCCAGAAGCCCTTCCTGTTGATGAGCAGGAATGTGTGTTTGGATTGCACAAAAAAATCATGGAGGCCAAGGCCAGGATTGCTGAACTCAAAGGTCAGAATTCCAACAGTACTGGTACTCCCATGGTTTCTCCGAGTGATCCAGTTCCAGAGATAGCGTCACCAGTGAATTCGACTTCATCAAGGGTTGCTGAAATTAGATCCCGGATGGAAAAGTTGCAGTCAGATTTGAAGTTTCTTGTCAGTACCATCGACCAGTTTCCGTCTTTATGAAAACATTGTTCATATGGCCATCCAAGTTGATCAACAGCAATCTTAAGAGGTATAGATGTATTCCCCTGGAACCTTAGGATAGATGTATTCCCCTGGAACCTTTAAAAATTAATATCAAACCTGTGAACCCATCTCTTTCCCAGGTTGGAAGCCAGCACTTCTGTGCCAGCAATGGACTTTGATGAGACTCTCCCGATGGTGCCGGATGAAACTCAGTACTACGCTCCCGATGCTGTGCCCGATGCTGTGCCCGATGCTGGGGTGGATGAAGCTTGGTGCCCCCCCGAAGCCACTCAGGGTGAGGATGAAGGCCCCAAAATCAATGATCCTACTACTGGCAATGGTGATGAAGGTGAGCGCATTCCTGTTCCTTGAACCGGATATAGGTTGATGTCTCTACCACTTCAACCGAACTTCAAGTGTTTCTGTTTTAGATGTTTTTTTTCAGGGGAAAAGTTCAATATGTGGGTTCTCAGCTGCTCTGTGCGCTCAGGTTGTGGATCGCTTGAAGCAACAGCGGTTGAAGGATGAAAAGAAAGAGGAAAACTCTACGAGGAAAGGAAGGAAGCCTAAGGGAAAGGCAGGAAAGGCAGCCAAGGCAGAAAAGCCAGCAAAGGCACGAAAGGCAGCTAAGGCAGGAAAGGCAGCAAAGGCAGAACCTGAAGCAAACAAGGAGCAATCCAGCAACGGTCCAAAAACCATAGGTAAGAGACTTCGCAGGATGAAGTCACAGGTGCGCATGGTAAGCAATGAACCAGAAGATGGTAAGATCACCCAGAAGGATAAGGCCACACCATCAGCAGCAAAGACAAGGAATCCAAGCAGTGAGACAACGGCAATCCCAACCACTATGAGCAAAGGTAAGGGCAAGGATGAACGCAATGTCAAGGAGGCAGGCAAAACGAAGAAAGTCAAGAAGGGATGCAAGGTCAAGGGATGCAAAACGAAGAAAACGAAGAATGTAAAGAAGGCACAGGGTGAAGAGGAGGCAATGGACCAGGCAGGACATGCAGGCAAAGGAGCAAAGGCAAAAAAAGCAAAGCAGTCGTCCACATGTGCGGAGCCAGCCCCCAAAGCTGGAGAGGACAGCCCACTCGCCTTTCATCTTAAGCATGCATGTTTGTTATGACATATCACATATGAGCAACATAATGGCTACATATCCTTAAGTATAAACTGATCTACAAGTCTATTACCAAATGTCTCCAGGATGGATGCCGCCGAAAGCGCATCAAGCACGATGAGACCACGGGTGAGATTAAATCCGTAGTTGAGCACTTGAACCAACAGTTTCAAGGGCAGTTCAAGATCATGGTGTACTGGTCGCGCTCAGCCGTAGGATTCCTAATCCTTAAGAATGGCAAGCTCCAACAGGCTTGGTAGCTGAAAACGTTAAAACCTTTCTGATGTTCTAATTATTTGATGTTCTGGTTGAAAATGTTGGGAATTATGTATGATTCATTTCATAAGTAGGTTACCCACATGGACAGACCCGCCAACCCAGTCTCCTTTGCCATTGTTGGTGTCCCGATCCACGCCATGTCCTGGAGGTTTGCTACTGCACAGTGCGCTTTGAGGATTTGATGTTTGCAGTCAAGAGTGTCGCAACCATAGCTACTTTATTGCACCCCAGGAGATGCTTTTCCTTTGTCCCATCAACCATTCAATAAATGCAATCCCACTTGGAAAAAGTAATTGGCCACAAGTGGTAAGCCATGACCCTGAATTGTTGAATTAACAATCTGCAGCCCTTGACTTATCTGAGGCTGGTCAAATGCTCAACGGCATTGATGAAGCGGACGCTGTGTCGAATTTTCTGTACTACAAGCCAGTTCTTACCGGCCAGAGCTCTGATCCCAATTTGAAGGAGGAGTTGCACAAACATATCAAGGAATTCACTGATGAAGTCAGCCCCGAAAATGAGGATGCTGATGCTCAGGATGTTGACTAAAGAAGCCGGACATTTATCTTAGAGTATATCTGTAGGGTTCCCATGCATGTAAGGCTTTCACATCACCGTTTTCGAAACACATGGTTTATCGCAGTGAACCTCCAGCTGCAATGACTACTGAACGCATGAACTCATTTTTCATTGTGTTCATATCAGCATTTGATCTGTGATTGCCTGCTGGCATGGTCCGCTTTGTGGCACACAATTCTATCTTTGGGGGATATGGCTTAAACGCCGCAAGACTTTGTCTCGCCAGCGCTTTGGGGAAAAAAGTTTCCATCTCCCACTTTGTATTTGGGCAGGGTTCCATTTATCCAGATGAAAAGAATACGTACCAAAGTCTTACAAAATCGGAACAGGATGTGAAATTACCACCAACAATTCTGGGCTCATTCACTTTCAATCGTCATTCTCGCCTTGGACAGGTTATGTGATTGCTGCTGCTGCTATACCAGCTGGCTGAGGACTGGATGGTGGTCACATTTTTTCACAAACAATGGATGAAAAATGAAACCCAGCCCAGCGTTTATTGTTTTTTGAAATGCAAATCATGAGAAGTTCATTCCATACATGGTGGACCCTGAGAAACATTCCCCAGCAACAAAGATCCCACACGCTCGCACAATCGTCCTTCCGCCAGGATCTTGGCATGCCTCTTGCAGGCAAGAAATGGATTGCGAAACGGGGCTTTGTGAAGCCAAGTCGAACTGTCCTGTTATTTCATTGGGTGATGTGTTGGCAAATATTGGCAGATTTGAACTGATTGCCAATCAAGAAGGGTGGGCCGTCCAGAGTGCAATTTTCTTGGGCTGGGTGATCAGCAGTCATGTTCAATGAAACTTTGGGGACAATCATGTTTTCGAGAGAAAAAAACGATGTCCAGTTTAAACTTCCATTTA